TCTAAAAGAGCCGAACTCATTCTGCACAAAACACCCCCAGGGACAAAAGGCTTTTTAACCTTGTCTTCGCCCTCCACAGGAGTTTCACCTCAGTGCTCCATTAACACGGAGCCGGGCGATTGGCAGCCGCTGTTCGCACGTCCTGGCCCTGAGCGTGAATGCCAAACCACGCAGCAAAGCGCCCCCGGCATTAATACCTGAGAGAGTGAGCTTCTGAAGTCCCCTAATGAGCTATTTGCCTTGGCAGGTAAATGATCAATTGCCTGGGAACTCAAGACCTGCCATTGCTCCTGGTTCCAGCGGGCGACAAGGAATCAGCCAGGCAGCTTTCGGTCTGCAGCCAGAAGAGCTGCGTTTTCGGTGTGAATCCTAGAGCTGTTAGCCTGAGCCGGGGTTAGATTTCCTTTGGCGTGGGCATCGCTATGTAGGTGACATGGTTGCGATAGCAGTGCCCGTGGCAGGGGACCACGGCAGGGCCGTGAGCTGGAGAGCCGCTCCATTCACTTCACAGCCCTCTTTTCAGAAAAGGGAGCATGACCAGATGACGGGTAAGTCTGAATGCGGCTCTGCACTCTCCGGGCCTGGAAACTGTGCCGGGGAAAGCATTTTCAGGGCACGTCGTCCCTCGCCGATGGCAGCCAGGTTAGAAATTATTATTTCACGTTCCTACAGGCTGAACTTCTGTAGTCCGGCACTCTCTGGTCCAGCGACATCCGTGGTCCGGCATGATTTGAGTTAGCCAGATGTCCACTTTTCATGGGTGTGGCCAAGTTTCCCATGGTCCCATAAAGTTTGCTACCGTCCCCAGGCCTGGCTCTCAATGTTCTGTGCTGTTATTTAGCTCTAATTCTCCCCTAAATGTCTTCTAAGAGCCCAGTAAGCAGTGGAAATGTGGGTCATGCTGCTGGATAATACTGACCTCTCTGATCCAGCACCAGTCAGGTCCCAAGGGTGCCGGACTAGAGAGGTTCAACTTGTATTGTATTCTATAAGGTTCTTCTACTTACGTACCACGGTGTATTGTATTCTATAAGGTTCTTCTACCCACGTACCACGGCACTCTCGGTGTGTCTAGACTACACTTCTCTGTCGACAGAAAGATGTAGATTAGGCACATGGAAATTGCTAATGAAGCTGGGATTTAAATATCCCGCACTTCATTAGCATAAACACGGCTGCTGCTTTTTTTCTAAATGGAGTTTTTTCGAAAAAAACCCGGCAGTCTAGATGCGGATCTGTCGAAAATCAAGTCTTTTCCGACAGATCCTGTAAACCTCGTTTTTTGAGGAATACAGGATCTGTCAAAAAGGCTTTGTTTTCGGCAGATCCGCGTCTCTAGACTGCCTTTTTTTAAAAAAAACCCTCTGTTTCGAAAAAAAGCAGCGGCCATGTTTATGCTAATGAGGCAAGGGGTATTTAAATCCCGGCTTAATTAAGGATGTAGTATAGAGGTAGCCTCAGACTAATGAGGCAAGGGGTATTTAAATCCCAGCTTCATTAAGGATGCAGTCTAGAGGTAGACTCAGAGCCTTCCAGGCGTGCATTCAGCGACGCCTGCTGTGTGTGTGTTCTCTCCTCTCCAGAGGAGTGGTTTGTGCTGTCATTTTCCAAATGCTCTCTGGATCTGGAGCCCTGCATTTCTGGGGGTTTTTAGGGAAGATAGGTCACAGAAATGCTCCTTGCAAGCGGTGGGGAAGTCTTGGCCTGGCCCCCAAGGGAGGCTCTGTCTTGCTGTGCAGTCCTCTCTTCCTGTAGAAATGTCCACTGGGCCAGAGGAACCAAGCTGTTGCCGCAGAACCAGGGTCCCCATTGGCCAGGGTCGGTGCAGACGTGGAAGGAGCGCCCAGCCTTGCCCTGAAGGCAGAAGTTGCCGTTGTCCTTCTCTTGATTGAGCCAGGCGGCGCTCGGGGACTGATATGACGACAGCCGGGGCAGGACCTAGACAGGAGCAATCGAACGAAGAAGCTGAAAGAGACAAACAACACAGGAGAGGTCGGGGGAGAATGCTAGAGTCAAGGAGATTCACCAAGCGAGATCAGCATAAAACTGGAGCAGCGCACGGATAGCACAGGCCCACACCATTAGACCAGGACTGGGCAAGATGCGGCCGGGGGGCCAGATCCTAACACTGATCCAGCTTGCGGGCTGCATCTGGCCGCTTTCTAGTTATATCCCACTGCCCGAGCTGCTGAATTTCCAGGCAGCTGGATCCTATCTGGATGGTTTGTGACTCCCAGTCGCGGTGCTACCCTGGCACCGTCTGCAGCAGCGAGACTTTCATAGAATCATAGAACACTAGGACTGGAAAGGACCTCGAGAGTCATCGAGTCCAGTCCCCTGCCCTCACGGCAGGATCCAGCACTGTCTAGACCATCCCTGATAGACATTTCTCTAACCTGCTCTTAAATATCTCCAGAGATGGGGATTCCACAACCTCCCTGGGCAATTTATTCCAGTGTTTCACCACCCTGACAGTTAGGAACTTTTTCCTAACGTCCAACCTGAACCTCCCTTGCTGCAGTTTAAGCCCATTGCTTCTCGTTCTATCCCCAGAGGCCAAGATGAACAAGTTTTCTCCCTCCGCCTTGTGACACCCTTTTTTGAAATAGTCACAGCAACCCCGGCCGGCTGCCAGGCAACCGGGTAGTGGCGGAGCCGGGAGGCCTTTGCTGTGTTTTTAATTCAAAGTCTCCAGCCCAGACAACTCTGGGAGGAGGCCACGCCCCTTCCGCCCCAGGCCCCACCCCTTCCAGGGGAGGGGAGCCGGCCTGTGACCACGTAGCAAAATTCACTAAGTGGCCCCCCTGAGAAAATTATCGCCCTGCCCTGCATTAGACCCTTGCTGGGTCTAGATGGCTCCTTCCTGGCATTGCAGGCTCTGGAGCAGAGAGCTGAATGTGGAGGGGGCGGTGGTAGAGTCGGGGGGACAGGTGCAGACAGGAGAGGCCCCATGGGGGAAGAGACGTGTCTCCCTCATACCGAGGGGCTAGAGCCGTTTGTCACATGGGGGGGCTGACAGCCATTGAACCAAACTAACTCCTGGCTCTGCTGGAAACCACTTCAAGCCAGGGGGTGCAGCAGCCCCCCCTCCCCCTAGTTCCAGAGTAACGCCGGCCGGCGGAACTGAACCTCAGACCTCTGGAGCTTAGTGTGTGAGCCTCCGCCCCAGGGCTGGACAGTAAAATGGCAGCCGTTCACTGGGGATAGCCCCGGTGGGCCACTGCCGCTATATTTACCTGCGCGTCCATGGTAGGGGCAGTCACAGCTCTCACCGAGCAGGATCGGCGACCCACAGCCACTGGGAGCTGCGATCCCCTTACCTGGGGGGCGCGGGTAAATACAGCGGTGGGGGGGCTGGCCCAGTGGGCCGATATTTGCCCACCCCTGAACTACTGCTTGAGCTAATAGCTATAGGGCAAACACATTCTCTCTCTCTCTGTAAGTCGTCTCAATGCCACCCCATGGGACACCTGCGTAGGTGGGTTATCCCAGCACCTCTGCTTCTGTGGTGCTTGGGCCCTGCCCTCGCTGTCTGGATGCCGGAGGAGGAGAGGTGGGGGGCAGGCTCTGTTGGGTTAACCAAAGGCGCGGGGCTGGCTTCAGGCCCAGGGTGGAGTTTGGCACGTTAGGGTGTGTTTTCTCCAGGCTCTACATTCGGCGGACAGAGCTATCCAAGGGCGACACTGGGGGGCGTGACGGTCCCAGGATGAATTCGTCGAGTGGCTGCCTCCGTCTCTCCTAGTCTCTGTCTGTGACACACAAAAGACTGAAAGAATCGGACTTGTTTAGTTTTGAAAAGAGAAGATGGAGAGGAGACATGGTAGTGGTCTTCAAGTATGCAGTCACAGGACACTAGAACTGGAAGGGACCTCACGACTCGTTGAGTCCAGTCCCCACCCTCACGGCAGCACCAAGCACCATCTAGAACATCCCTGACAGGCGTGTGTCCAACCTGCTCTTAACTATCTCCAGGGATGGAGATTCCACAACCTCCCCAGGCAACTTATTCCAGTGCTGAACCAACCTGGCAGGTAGGAAGTTTTTTCCTAATGTCCAACCTCAACCTCCCTTGCTGCAATTTCAGGCTATTGGAGAACAATTTTTCTCCCTCCTCCTTGTAATACCCTTTTAGATTCTCAATAGCCTGAAATTGCAGCAAGGGAGGTTGAGGTTGGACATGAGGAAAAACTTTCTGCTTGTCAGGGCGGTCAAACACTGGAATAAATTGCCCAGGGAGGTTGTGGAATCTCCATCCCTGGAGATATGTAAGAGCAGGTTGAATAGACACCTGTCAGGGATGATCTAGACGGTGCTGTGTCCTGCTGTGAGGGCAGGGGACTAGACTCAATGACCTCACGAGATCCCTTCCAGTTCTAGGGTTCTATTCCTTCCTCTGTGCGTTAGCCTCTTGTTAAGCGAGGTTGGGTTTCTCTAATGCAGACTGGATTCCAAGGGGGCACAAACATCCGTTCTCCTCCACAGGGTGTATACCATCACTGCCAAGAACACCCAAGAGGTGCTCAATTCCTGGGGGCACACGCATGGTGCTAACGAAAATCTCATCCGCATTAGATTGACGTAGGGAAGGCTGGGCCGCAAAGCTCGGGGGCTGGGAATCTGGGACTTTCTTATGCTTAGTTAGTTCCTGCTGCCCCGGTTCGTTAACTCCTGTGAAACCCTAAATTATCCCCATGCCGGGGTTGTGCGGCTGATGGCCGTGCCCACTGTCTTACAGGCAGGCTATGCCGAGACCGGGGTGAGGGGGCCTGGAGGGCAGATGGCCTCCGTCTTCGTTGTCATCCCTGGGTAAAAAGGCAGGGGGCAGGACGCTGTCCTGTCTGTTGGCCACCTTGTCCAGGCCCTCGGGAGACGACCATGGTCCCTGGGGAGGTCAGTCCAGCTGCTCTCACTCCCACTCCGTTCATTTTGAAAGAGGAAACCCCCAAAGCACAAGCAACGGGCCTTTTTTACCCTCCCAAATCCAGGGAGCACTGTCTTAGTTTAAAACAACAGTCCCGCAGAACCAAGCTGCAAAGCGACTTTTCGGGTACGAGGGACCTGGGCTCCAGGCATGTTGGTAACCACCAGCCAGGGGCCCAATTCTGGAAATGGCAAACTTCTGAGAACGAGGCACACCGAGGGGCAGCGGTGTTGGTGCGCTGACTCCGTGCGCCTGAGTGATTGGCCGGCGATGGAGACCTGCCGGCGGTGATGGTCAGTGGGAGTTTTGCCAGTGACTTAGCTGTCAGAGGTCACTGCAGCTCTCTCCTCTAGCCCCTGCAGTGTGGTTTGCGTGTGCTCACTCGCTTCTTTTTCACTCCTAGGTGAGTACGAAGTGCCGCGGCCTGTGGTGGGAATGCGTCACCAACGTCTTCGACGGGATTCAGACCTGTGACGAGTATGACTCCATATTTGCCGAGCACTCCCGTACGTAGGCTTCCGATTTTCAATCGCAATCCGTGGAGGTAGAGAAAATAGAATCATAGACCCATAGGGCTAAACGGGACCACAAGGTCATCTAATCCGGGGGTCATGACCTTGAAGGAGGAGACAAGATTATTAAGGGGGGGTTGTGAGCTGTCAGCCCTGTGCATGCCGGGGCTTTCACCATCAGCGTGACTCCTTCAGATCTGGGTGTCCTGCCAGCAGCCGCTGCTCTGCATCTGCCCTGCTTTAAAGCTTGTGTCCATACGACTGAGCAGTCGTGTGAGCAGCTGGTGAGTTTTCTTCAGTCAAATGTGAGTGAACCCCCCAATGAGTCAACCGGCTTGAGTTAAAAGCACCATCGCACTCAATCTGAGGGTTCTTGTGTGTGGACAGCAGAGTTGTTGACTCGAGTCCCACGACTTGAACTTGAGTCCGACTTAAGTCTCCTAGATGACTGACTTGAGACTCGACTCAGGTTCATTGTTTGTGACTTGAGACTCGATTTGAGACTTGCTGATTTTGTTAAATCGACTTGGTGACAAAATTGTCCAAAAATGCCGATATTGATGGCTTGTACAAATGTGACTTGACGTTTTTAAAATTAAGACTTGGGACTCGACTTGGGACTTGACTCGAAAGTGACTTTAGGGACCCGAGACTCGACTTGAGACTTGACAGGGACGACTTGACGACAACACTGGTGGACAGGACTGGAGTGAGGGGAGACACCCGAGCTGTAACTCGCTAACTTTGCAGTGTTGACAAGCACTTAAATCTTTGGGTTTTTAAGAGTACCAAATTAGTGCTACATCTCGCAATGAGGTAAAGCTCTCCCGTTTGAAGCTCCTTCGCTGGCGGCTTTCAAAAGGAGGCGGGATAGGCATCTGTCTTGGCTGGTTTAAACCAGGGGTGGAGAACCTAAGGCCTGAGGACCGGATGCGGGCTTCCCCTCCCCCAGCACTGGGGAGTCCCCACTGCCCCTCCATGGGGTTGGAGCACACAAAATCGACTACCGTGGACCCCCCTAGGCTTTGGTGTGCGAGGGAACGTGGGGAGCGTCTTTCTGCTTCTCAGTCGGGGGTCATGTCAGTGAGGGGGTTTCGTTTTGGTTTTGCTTCTCACTTGTGTGCGGCCCCCGACTGATTTTTCTGTGGGTCAGCGGCCTCTGACCCCAAAAAGGTTGCCCCCCCCCTCCACGGTTTAAACTCCCAGTCTATGAGCCATCCCTGGCCAAGCAATTACACAATCCAAACCAGGAACCCTAGCGGGTATAGTCGGGGGGGTTCCATTACTGTTCCCAAACCCCATGCCTTCCCTCCATCGCCCCACCTTCCCTCCATGGCACCCCTTCCCCGAGGAGGCAGCTTCATGGATTCCTGGGAGAAGGGGCGCTGGTGCAGCTTGTCCCACTCAAGTGCTGCTAGACCTTCAGGCTACCTCTAGACTGTACGCCTTCTTCGACAGAGGCTCTGTCAACAGATACTGTCGACAAAACCTCTATCAAAAAGAGCAGCTAGACTACAACAAGTTCTGTCGAAAAAGCAAGCCGTTTTTTCGAAAGACAATGTAGACGCTCTCGTTCGAAAAAAGCACAGTTTGCATGCAATAGCATCTTTTTTCAGTAGAGTATTTTTGAAAAAGGCATTCTTCCTCGTAAAACAAGGTTTACCGCCATCGACAAAACTTCCGCGTTCTGTCGACTTACTGTCGACAGAATGTGGCGGTAGTGTAGACACAGGTATCGTTTTGTCGACAAAAGGCCACTTTTGTCGACAACACCCTGTAGTCTAGACACACCCTCAGTGCCTTCCCACAACTCCCACATGTGTCCCCACAGGACAAATTCTCCCATAATTCACTGGGAAAGAATTTACAGAGTGGCTTAGCAAGAGGCAGACCCATGGGATGTTGCCTCAGAACCCTTTCAGCCAGCCCCAGTGTGGACACAAGCAGCTCAATCAGGATTTCACAGTCTGGCTGCTCTGACTCGAGCAAGGCTAACGGGAACGGAGTGACTCCAGTTCCCCCTCTGCAGTGAAGACAGACTGTTCGATAGGCACAGACGGGGTGTGCTCTCTGCACAGGGTCAGCTTCACCTTCTCTGTCTGTCAGGAGAACCTCGCTGGAAGCCACAGCTGGCTGGACCGGTGGTTTTGGAACATTATTATTTTCTTCTTCTATTCTGAAAGTTGTGTGATACACATCACCCCAAAAAAGTTTGAATCAAACCAACTTGGCCTAGACGGTGCTGGGTCCTGCCGTGCAGGCCGGAGACTGGACCTGATGACCTCACGAGGTCCCGCCAGTTCTAGGATTCTACGGAACTAAAAAACAAAACCACCAAATTTCTCTCTCAATATCGCCCTGGGCCCCAGAAAATAGGCAGCCAGATGTTCTCTTCCATTTGAATTTCTCTTTTGCCAGGACAGTATGATGTAAACACTGCTGCGCTAGGTAATAGCCCCTTAACATTACAGATGGGCCCAAACCAAATCCGTGGGACCAAATACCCTTTTTAGAAGCAGCTTTTGGCATTATTGAGATCTTCTTGGCCATGCCCAGGGCAGCAAAAAATCGTTCCTTATTGGTATGTCCTTGATCATCCACACTTGAATACTGCATGGCCTACAGAAGTCACCTTTGCAGCAGTATCTCATCCCCTTCCAATCATTCCTTTACCCTTTCAGGGTCTATCGTTAGATTAGCCATAATACAATGTGATTAATTGAGAATGTGGCACTATTGGGAGGGAGGGGGAGATGCTTTCTTTATTCATGTAAATTATACAAACAAGACAAAGGGCATGTCTTCACTATGTGCCCAATGGGACAATGATCGATCCAGCAGGGATTGATTTATCATGTCTACTGTAGACATGCTTAATCAACTGCCGAGTGCTCTCCCGTCGACTCCACCAGAATGAGGGGAATGAGGCGAGTTGATGGGAGAGTTTTTTTCTGTTGACCCTGCATGGTGGGGACCCTGCAGTAAATAGATCTAAGCTATGTCAATTTGAGTTACGCTCCTAATGCAACTCAAATTGTGTTGCTTAGATCAACCTGCCCCCGTAGCATAGACTTGCCCTAAGGATAATGAGCATTCAAGTGGACGTGAGGGACTTCATTTTAGAGTGCAGCACAACAGCCATTTTCTGTGGGGAATTAAATACAGTGGCGTGGGGATATTTTTAAAAGTGAAGGGTCCTGAAAACCAGTCCCCCTATCCAACCCCCGTCCCAGCTGTAGCCAGGAACAATGCCCTGGCTTGCAGGGCTGGCAGCTGGGACTCTGGATGCGGGCTTGGCAGCACAGCACCCTAGCATGCAGGGTGGCAGGTGTAAGGCTGGCAGCTGAGCCCCCTGGCACATGGGGTGGCAGCCTGGACCCTGATGCACGGGGCCAGCAGCAGAGCTCCTGGCATGCAGAGTGGCAGACGGAAAACCCTGGGGTGCTCCAGCACCCCCGCACTCCTAGTGCCCGGTCCTATGATTCAATATGGCTGGGAAGTGCAGCTGTCACTGGATTCCCCAAAATTAAGGTTTCTGTTCCCTTGGTTGCTTTGATCTCAATGGGGCTGCCCAGGGAGCGAGACACGCCCTCTGTGTGAGCGAGGGGGGCAGGATCTGCTTCTCTCTGAACCGTCCCGTGTTTCCTCGCTGCACCACAACCCCCTGCCTTGTTCTGCAGTGAAGCTGGTGCTGACCAGAGCCATGATGATCACAGCGGACATCCTGGCTGGGTTTGGATTTGCCTTCCTGCTCCTGGGTCTGGACTGTGTCAAATTCCTCCCGGAGGAGCCCACCGCCAAGCTGCGCATCTGTCTCGTGTCTGGAGTGATGTTGCTCATAGCAGGTATTTGTCCAGCGCCGGGACATGAGCATGGGTGGCTTGGTTTAAACAAAGGAGTGAGAGTAGTACTGAGAGGAAGGATGGTCCAATGGTTAGGTCACCTGCCAGAGAACCAAGTTCAATTCCCTGATATACCACTGAGTTCCTTTGCGACTCCAGGCAAGTCGTTTAGCCTTTCTGTGCCTCAGTTTCCCATCTGTAAAATGGGGCTCATAGCAGTGCCCTCCTGGAGCCTCGTAACAGGGGTATTCTGAGAGGCTAACTACATTACAGCGTGAGATTCTTCGACAGTAGCATGATCGGCGCCGGAGAAATACTTAGCATCACTAGGTGCCAAGTTCTAGCACTGACTCAGCATCACTAGGTGCCAAGTTCTAGCACTGACTCAGTGTGGACAATTTATTTGGATATTTACTAATATTATAAAAGCTCTGCCAATGTTACTCTAGCTGTTGCAGCAGCGAGACCAGTCACAAGGGAAAGTGATGTCTGCTGTAGAGCCTCAGCTGAGAGCCACTTGGCTTTTAGCTCATGCAGTACCGACACATGGCTTTAGCGCCCTAAGGTCGCCGGTTCAAGACCACCTGCTGTCAGCCCTGGATCCAATGGATCGGTCTATCTACCTAAGTAATGCCAGTCATGAGAGGCTAATGAATACATGTGCTTCTCATGTGCTCAGAGATCCCCTTCGATATGACCCTGTGCGTTTTAGACTTCAGCGAATAGCACGTGGTGCACATTTCCTTGTGATTCCCTCCAGACGTGAATTGGAACGGCCATAGGGGGAGAGATTAAAAAGACTGGGACTCACTTTTCAGCTTAGAAAAGAGGAGAACTAGCCCTGCTCCACACTAGGGAGTTATTTGGAAAGAACTCCCTTTATTTGGAAATAAGGGGCTGGTTATTTCAAAATCTGGACTCCTGCTTTCCACGAGGAATAACGCTTATTTTGAAATTGTTCTTTTGAAATAGCGGTTGTGTGGATGCTCCGCTGCAGCTATTTCGAAATAACTACCCCCAAGAATCAGTCAAAGTAATTACTTCTCAGTGCTGCCTGGTGGTAGGTAGCGTATCCACATTCAGAGAGCCTTCCTCAGACTAATTTTGTGGTTTCCTTGCAGTGGGGACAGGCTATTTCAAAACAGTTATTTCAGGAGGTTTTATTTCGAAATAATTTCCTAGTGTAGACATGCCCTAAGAGCAGATATAATATAGGTCTATAAAATCATGACCGGTGTGGAGAAAGTGAATAAGGAAAAGTTATTGACTTGTTCCCATAACAAACACTAGGGGTCACCAAATGAAATGAATAGGAGCAGATTTAAAACAAACTAAAGGAAGTATTTCTTCACACAACACACAGTCAACCTGTGGAACTCCTTGCCAGAGGAGGTTGTGAAGGCCAGGACTTTAACAGCATTTATAAAGAACTAGATAAATTCTTGGAGGTTAGGTCCATCAAAGGTTATTAGCCAGGGTGGGTAGGGATGGTGTCCCTAGACTCTGTTTGTCAGAAGTTGGTAATGAAGGACAGGAGAGGGATCACTTGATGATTCCGTTTTGTTCACTCCCTCTGGGGCATCTGGGCTGGATTGACCTTTGGACTGACCCAGCCCGGCCGTTCTGATGCTCTTACGCTCACATTCAATATTTGCCTGAGCACTATTGAAATTCAAAGCCTCCCAATCAGCTACCAGTGGATGAGCAAGGAATGGTGGCGACGAGGAAGCTTTGCGTAGCTGTCTATCACCTCCCCCTCCGCACAAAACCACCCACTTTTAGCTAGAGCTCTCCCAGGTGGAAAGCTGTCTCCTGACTACACCAAAACTTCAGAACCAGCCAATAGCCCTGCAGCGCCGTAGGGACGGACAAAGCGTGCTGCTAGGTAGCGCGGGAGCGTCCATTGCAGGTGTGAGAAAGCAAAGCCGTAGAGATGAACTGCCCGTATGTACACTTGGGACAGCCTCGGAGCAGTAAGCAGCATTAAGCGATGGCAGACTACACGCCCGACCTGGGTATCCACGTACTCACCTTGCCTGGTCTGACTGCTCTCTCCGGTGCTCTTCTCTCCTGCCCTGCAGGCTTCCCCGGCCTCATCGGCTCCGTGTGGTACGCCCTCGGGGTGTACGTGGAGCGCTCCTCCCTGGTTCTACACAATGTCTTTCTGGGCATCCAGTACAAGTTTGGCTGGTCCTGTTGGCTTGGCATGGCTGGGTCCCTGGGCTGCTTCTTATCCGGGGCTCTGCTCACCTGCTGCATGTATCTCTTCCGCGGTAAGACCCAAGAGCATCAACTCAACCCAGCTGAGACAGTTAATCTCTGGGGTGCTGCTACGCACACGCCCAGCAACCGGATGCTGGGTAGCAGATATGCCTGGGGCAGAGAGCCGGGCTCAGCTGTGTGTGTCTATTAAATCCTTCCATTCATCGCGGAGAACACCAGTGTGGGTCTGGCTGCTGGGATGTGCCTCTTTAGCAGCTTGGTCCAAGATCCACAATCCTTCACATATTCCCTATAGCTCCCCAGGGGTTACCAGATGCTGCTACCTACGGTCACCGGAGCATGTGTACATCCTGTGTTTGCTAGAGGCCTGCTGTGTTTTGTCTCTGCCTCCTTCCTCTCCTTCCCATGGGCTGCACAAAACAAGGGCTCCACAGCCCCTTGCCTAGGTGTTCTCACGGGGGAAGCTCAGCCCTTCTAGGTTCTGCTCCCATTATCCTAGGGCTTGACAACCCGCGTCAGCTCCGCACCAGCATCACCATAAGTGATGGCTAAGACGGCCTCAGTGTTTGGCCTGTGAAACGGGGGGAGTAATGCTCTCCCCAGTATTGTCCAGTGCTTTGAGATCCTCAGACGGAAGAGGAGGTCTAAGCAGAGCGCAATGCTGTTATTTCAGTTACTACCAAACCGGAAGCCTCATCGTGCTGTGTTTGCGGGTGGAAATGGTCATGTCATTGCTCATGGATTTTTCTTTCTTTCCCTTTGGCAATAGATGTCGGCTCTGGGAGGTTCTACTCCTCTAATTCCTGGAGGAAGACGTATTCCCCTGGACTGGCCATGGCGAACACGTACTGTCCAGCGTCTCGGACAGCGACCGCCAAAATGTACGCAATGGACACCCGAGTGTGAGGAGCAGGAAGGGGCGTGAGTCACGCTCTGCTTTGGTTTGGAACTGCTTATTCACAGGCCTGATCCCCAGGGTTTGGGAGCAGGGTGCCAAGTCGCAGAGAGGTGGAGACTGGTCTCTCTGAGGGCCAGCGCTCCCTGTAAGCTGAGCTCTTGGGCATCCACCCAGGAGAGAGTCAAAGGCCCCCGAATGATTAGCCAGGCACCCACAACTGCCAGTCTGTGATTATCCTGGTGGTGCACATCCACACATGCCTCGGTGCATGTAACAAAATTTATTCCACCCATGGATGGAAAAAAAATTGGAGGGATCACTCATGATAGCTTGAAATAAAATTATCATCGGCAACAAAACAAGAAATCAGCCTCCGGGCAGGATCCTAAATGCAGGAATCGCGCTGGGTCGAATTCTGAGAGGTGCAAAATACCAGCTCAATTCCCTACCTCTTGCTGTGTGCAGCCTACATCAGAATTTGGCCCACTGACTTCACTGTGAGGTGAAAGGAATCAGTTCTTTGCAGGGATGAGCAACTACACGATACATAGAGAAACCAAAACTGTACGAGGAAGACAATCCACAGAGCTAATCCATGCATACGGTGCTGGCAGACCCAGGGGACGACGCATAGGGACCTCTGCTGAGAGAAATACGGGCCTGGCCAGGTGGACATCTGGAATCCATGTAGACAGGGTGTGGGTGTGTTCTCTCCTTGAGAGCATCGAGAGATCAGCACGGAAGGGAACGGGCTGTACTAACCTGCACCCTCCCCTGCTGTCTGTGCCTTAGGGCTCGCCCACAAATCACCAGCTGGAGAAAACACAGTAAGTTCAGAGGCGTTTTGCCCTGTGAAATGCAACCCTCTTCACCAACGATCGAGGAGCTAATCAGTCAGCCTATCTGGGATTCCCAGTTGCCCAGATCTGGAAATCCTAATTTAGTGCTTAACCATTCCCTTACTGCTGTGATCCATCTTCCGGAGTTTGATTTAGTGGGTCTAGTTAAGACTCGCTAAATTGAACTCAGGAGGCGCCCCTAGCAGCAGCCTGATACTACTGCTTCTGCAAGGAGTAAGGGAAGCTGACAGAAGCATTTGCTGTGGGGGACGGTGGGGAAATGCGAAACAAGGCGCACCAACCCAGCTACGTAATTAAAGTAGCTGGAGTGGCATATCTTGATTCGATGGTCCCTTTTAGTACAGATCTGGTCTGAGTCGGACAAGGACAAATTGGGTGAGGATGCAGAACAGGCTTGGCTCATGATGAACTTATTAATTAGGAGCTGGAATCACCAACTGTAAAAAACCCTTTGATCTGAACTCCCTTTAAATCAAAACACCTCCTTATCCAATTCAAAGCTCTCTTACCGAGCAGAAAACTCTGCTGCCCTTACATAGGACTTCGACGAGCTAGAATTTAGGCTTGTCTTCACTGCGGGGGGAAATTGTGGTTTTAACAAATTAGCTTACGCAAGGTAAAGCGTGCGTGCAACTAGCTAGTGCAAGTTAAAGCACAATTTTCAACACGGTTGCTGGCAGCAGAAGTTCATGGGCAGGAGCCCCAAGTTTAAGTCACCTGGTTTAACACATGTTAAGTCTACACAAGACTTTTAGAGCTCATTAGTTGGCATATGTTGGTGCACTTTTTATCCCAGGTGCTAGGCACTTCCCGTGACTATTGGAATGGCTCCCTTCGATTCCAGGCACATGCTGAGTGTCCGTCCCCTTGGTGTACAGATACAGGTGCTTTCTGGAACACGACAAATAGTTTTGTAAATATCCTCTCTGGTTAGTTTATTTCCTTCCCTGTAAATTGACAGTGATTTCCAATTGCAGCACACTCAATAAAATGGTTTTATAATAAAACAATTTTGTTTGAACCATTATAATATTTCACCCTCGCCTCACTTTCCTTCCCCTCAGTTAACCATGTAAATAATATATTTTTCTTATTCCGAAGATGGTACTACAATTTGCTGATTAAACAGATATCGATATCGATATAGAGATCGATATAGTGTTTCCCCACCCTATTTTCATGAGTGATTTGCACTGGGCTCTGGCGATTTTATTAGAATGAAGATGTGAATCAAGAGAACACAGGTTTACTTAAATATTTTGGAACTGCAATAAAATGCGCCCTTTGAAATCCATGTAAGTTTCAGTTGCTAGATCAAGATCTGCGTCATACAGCTACCGTCCCTGCCAGAAATGAGGAGCAAAAGGGAACAGGCTTTAGGAAGAGGAGGTTTGATTCAGGAATCTAAGAAGTCTCTGGACCCCACTCCATATCACCAGCATTTGCTTTTCAAAAGCCAGGATTCTTTGCGGGGAGCTTGAGCAGCATCTATGCTTTTTAGCCCGTTCTTAAAGCTTCCACATGGCAAACCCCTCTGAAAACATGGAAGAGGCATTCATCCAGGCCACTGTCTGCATCGAGGCGTCATTCCACTGTCCCCATTTTAAAGAGGGGAAAGCTGAGGTAGGCAGTTAAGTGACTAGTCCCAGGCTACAGAAAGAGTCCGTGTCAGAACTGAAGGTAGAACCAAAGCTCTCCCTGGCTCAGTTTTACGTGCTCATTGTTGGCCAATATCTCCCTTTTATAGCATCAAAGCATTATTGAGACACACTTGAGCCCAAGGGTTGTGTGGAACCAGCTGACCGCAGTAGAGCTGCCTCTGGGGGGTGCAGGCATCTGGTTGTAGAAGGCTCCCAGCAGAATCCCAGCCTGGAAGGCACTCAGCACTATCACTGGCTGCTCAGGGCATGTTCCCCACAGTATCCAATACACACATACAAGGTTAGGCCAATACTCAGATTAGTGTCTTCAGCTCATGCTGGGGGCAAAACTGAAAACCAGACCACTGAATGGTTGGAGTAGAACCGCCACTTACGACTGCCCTGGAAAACGGCTTCCCTGTCACTCCCTTTACCCAAAAGACACCATCCAATAAAATAATAATAATGCCAGACTAGAATAGTCACCAAGTCTTTGGACTGAGCTGGAAAACAGATCAACGAACCTTTCTGTGATTCCCTGCCTTTTGCATGCTGCTGCTCATGCCTGATTGATTTTCTCGGTGGGAACATCCCCCCAACAGGTGTAGTTGGCATTCAATGTTGCATGAGGCTACAGAGGCTTTTCCACACGATGTGCGGTATTTATAACGTTATGATGTCGTGTGAGCCTCACCTTGTGCCACTCTTACTGGACTCCGGGCAGGTAATCCTTCCACTGTTTGTTACTGATCCACTGCCAAGACCTAGGGTATGTCTACACTGCAAGGCTATGTCAGGATACCAGAGGTATCTCGAAATAGCTACTTCTTTGGAACACATCCGCTACTGTGAAATATAACGGACGCGCTATTTCGGCATCCCTGTAAGCCTCGTTCCACGAGGGATAAGGGATGTCTCGAAACAGTGTGTTATTTCGAAATGTGATGTGTGTAGATGATAAATAGAATTGAAATAAGAGATGCAATGTGCATAGCAAAAATTGTGTTCACCCAAAAAGTCTATCCAATACACACATACAAGGTTAGGCCAATACTCAGATTAGTGTCTTCAGCTCATGCTGGGGGCAAAACTGAAAACCAGACCACTGAATGGTTGGAGTAGAACCGCCACTTACGACTGCCCTGGAAAACGGCTTCCCTGTCACTCCCTTTACCCAAAAGACACCATCCAATAAAATAATAATAATGCCAGACTAGAATAGTCACCAAGTCTTTGGACTGAGCTGGAAAACAGATCAACGAACCTTTCTGTGATTCCCTGCCTTTTGCATGCTGCTGCTCATGCCTGATTGATTTTCTTGGTGGGAACATCCCCCCAACAGGTGTAGTTGGCATTCAATGTTGCATGAGGCTACAGAGGCTTTTCCACACGATGTGCGGTATTTATAACGTTATGATGTCGTGTGAGCCTCACCTTGTGCCACTCTTACTGGACTCCGGGCAGGTAATCCTTCCACTGTTTGTTACTGATCCACTGCCAAGACTTAAAGGGTATGTCTACACTGCAAGGCTATGTCAGGATACCAGAGGTATCTCGAAATAGCTACTTCTTTGGAACACATCCGCTACTGTGAAATATAACGGACGCGCTATTTCGGCATCCCTGTAAGCCTTGTTCCACGAGGGATACGGGATGTCTCGAAACAGTGTGGCTCAGCTGTTTGTCGGCACAAAGCGGCAGTCAAGACGGGGATCAGTCGGCAAAGAAAGCCTCTTTGCTTTGGGCCTTGTGTTCCCATGCAACAAGGTTTACAGGATCGGTCGGCGAAGGCTTTGCTTTCCGACTGATCCCCGTCTTGACTGCCGCCTTGTGCCAACAAACAGCTGAGCCGGCACAGCGTGGCGGCCATTTTTATTCTAATGAAGCGGAGGATATTTAAATCCCCGCTTCATTGACTATGTCGGGATGTCTAATTTACATGCCTCCGTCGGCAGAGGCATGTCATCTAGACATAGCCTTAGTGACAGCAGAGCCAAAATATTCACCCCCTGATTGTCTTCCATGGCTCTTTCCCAGGATTTTTGGGTCACTGCACTTGGAACATGCAACACCAGTGATGTGAGGTGGGCAGCAGTTTTGGGACACCATCGTTTTTCTCAGCACTGTTACGTCTGAAAGTGATTTTTCAGCTGAGCTGTCATAAAACAGTCTCATCTTCAATTGTAGCTCTTGGAAGTACGGCCCCGCCCTAAAGAAACATCTTCACTAGGGGCTGAGAGCTGCATGGGAACACAAGGCCCAAAGCAAAGAGACTGCTGTCTGGGGAGACCGCCTGGGGAATGCTATCTACCCAGGCTGCTCTGGGGCAGCTCTGAGGGGCCTGGGACTGAGCAGAGGAGCACGCCGGAGAGGCGGCTATGGCATGGATCCACAGCCCTAAATGCCTCCATGTTAAGAGTAACGGTCATTCCTAAAAGAAAGCAATGGTCATTGTCTCCATTGTACTGAGGGAGAAACTGTGTCATGGGACAGTGACATGACCAAGGTGACATATCAGAGCAGTGCCAGAGCGAGGCACAGACCCCAGGCGTGCTGATGCTGAGCCCAGTGCCTTACCCATTCTACCACACTGCTTTTTGTGGGGCCTATAGAGATTCCAGCTGCAGAGACAAACCACTGGCCACGAGCTGTTCCCAGTGGAAATGACAGTTCCTGACTGCTCCTGCCCTCTTGGGTCCGCACCCTGGTACACTCCCCTGGGAATAACCGCTCAGCCCTCCCGCAGGGTCACGCTGGCGGAAGGTGACGGATTGACAGCTTTGGGGAGGAAGCTCTTCCGTTTGCCCTGCCAACGTTCTCTTTCCCCATGCCTCAGTGCCCCGGTGGGCTGGCTCGCCCGAGTGCGGGCCGGCCGGGTGTGCGGCGTGGAGCAGACATGGGCGTGTGCCAGAGAGAAGCTGTGTCTCCAGACCAGACAGGGTGGCCTGTCCCAAGCACTCCCAGGTTGCCCCCCTGAAAGCTGGCGCTCTCTGGACCGGCAGGACCATGGACACTGCTGGACCAGAGAGCCTGGAGTGCCCCGGTGGGCTGGCTCGCCCGAGTGCGGGCCGGCCGGGTGTGCGGCGTGGAGCAGACATGGGCGTGTGCCAGAGAGAAGCTGTGTCTCCAGACCAGACAGGGTGGCCTGTCCCAAGCACTCCCAGGTTGCCCCCCTGAAAGCTGGCGCTCTCTGGACCGGCAGGACCATGGACACTGCTGGACCAGAGAGCCTGGGCGTGCTGGGGCCGGGGAACCTTGGCTGCCTGTGGCAGATGAGGCCGAGGGCCTCAGAGGCCTTGCAGTACACGGCAGCACAAGGACGGAACCCGAGGGTGAAGAGGCCCGGCCGTCCATGGCAGCACGGAGCCAGTGCCGGGGGCAGAGAAGTCCAGCCAGCCATGGCAGCCCGGGGCTGGGAGGCAAGGGCAGCACAAGGGACAGCCTGGCTGGGGAGGGAGGACAAGGGGCCAGAGGCAGGAGGCTGGCAGGCTTGGGGCAGGGACCCCCGGGTCTGGCAAAACTCTCCTTTGGGACTGCTCTGGTCCCGATGGGCCGGACCAGGGAGGTCAAAACTGACGGGTGGGTTTCCTCAGAGAGGTACGGTGGGGGAGGGGATATCTTTCATTGGAGCAACTTCTGCCAGCGAGCGAGCTTGGGAGCCACACGGAGCTCTGTTTCAGGCCTGGGAGAGGCGCTCTCAGCCGCACAGCACAGGGCAAGTCCCCCCGCTCGCTGCCCAAGGTCGCCTGCATCCATCAGCCTTGCCGCTCGCACGAAAATATACTAGGCAAATATAACTTAGATAGGGCCACGATAAGGTGGGTGCATAATTGGCTGGATAACCGTAGTCAGAGAGTTGTTGTTAACGGTGCTAAATCCTGCTGGAAAGGGATAACAAGTGGAGTTCCTCAAGGGTCTGTTTTGGGACCCGTACTGTTCAATATCTTCATCAATGATGTAGATATTGGGATAGAGAGTATGCTTATTAAGTTTGCAGATGATACCAAACTGGGTGGGGTTGCAACTTCTTTGGAGGATAGGGACATAATTCAAAATGACCTTAGCAAGTTAGAGAAATGGTCAGAGGTAAACAGGATGAGGTTTAATAAAGAGAAATGCAAAGTGCTCCACTTAGGAAGGAACAATCAGTTCCATACATACAAGATGGGAAGCGACTGTCTAGGAAGGAGCATGGTGGAAAGGGATCTAGGGGTCATAGTGGACCACAAGTTGAATATGAGTCAACAGTGTGATGCTGTTGCAAAAAAAGCAAATATGATTCTAGGTTGTATCAACAGGTGTGTTGTAAGCAAAACTCGTGAAGTCATTCTGCCGCTCTACTCTGCACTAGTTAGGCCTCAGCTGGAGTACTGTGTCCAGTTCT